CCCATCTGATGATAATCAATGCAAAGCAATGCTTACCATGCCCTCACTCTGATCAGCAGTTCCCCATCCGCGGCGGTCATTTCGGGTTTTTGCTGGACTTTCAGCATTTTCAACCCACCAAATCCCGTTAGAACGACGCTTTTCACCACTTTCGCGGGAGGGGCAGAAGCGTCTCCATCAGGCTTGGCCTCAGCGGCAGGTTCAACGGTTGGTGCTTGTGTCTCCGCCATTCTGAAACGATCTATCCTGTTCCGTTCGGTCTCTGCGAATGCTGTATTGCAAGGTCACTGTGGTATTAATTATGATGATTTTATTTCCAAGGTAACGGTGTTTGGCGTAGGAAGGTTGTAGGTGGACAAGACGAAGTCACCGATCGTTGCGACGAATCTCTCTATCTGTCGTCTGCTACGGTTTGTCGGCCTTGTGAGAACGGGTGACAGTTAACGACTGTGAGTGCGAGCGCAAGTTATCATCGATTGGTTTTAAAACTTGCCTGTTCTCATAATAATGTCAGTGCCATTACACCGTCTTATCAAATATACTCAAAGCGCAGATGGATCTCCACCGGCAGAAATATATTGACATGGATGTCGGGTCATATTAGCACGACAGGGAATAAATCAGTTATCACATGACTCGCGGCGTGCTCGACAAATTGCTCGATAGATACACATATGCTTGCCTAAGGGGTTTCGGTGAAAAACAACTTAGCCATGAATAAAGACGGCGTTTGTGTTGTTGTTTTCTCGTTCAGATTTCCCCTGAATTATTCTTTGCTCATGAATACAAGTGGTTATATAAGCAAAGGTACAATGAATATATTTATATGAATAAATAAATAACCCGCGGCTTATATAATATGGACTCAACTCTTGCGTAAGTGTAGAAATGTTAAGTTAAATGCTTTATTTTTTGTTTATAAGCAATAAAGGAAATACTACCATATTTAATAAATCATCTTTCTATACATCATAATAAGAAATTATGTAAAGTGAGTAACTAGAGTCGTGTTTTTATTGCATGTCTGTGAATGTGTTTAGAAGAGTGTCGGGTCGCTCTGACACCAGCTCGATGTGCAGGAAAGCGTAAGTGATGAGAGCGCATAAAAGACAGATAGGGATGTCTGCACACATATCGGTAGGATAATGAAAACATAATTTCGTTTCGAACCAGTGCTTGTAAGTTATGATAACCCTGTTCACTTAGGCAATAAGTGGGTTATTTTGTGTTTCGGTAAGGCACATATGTATGCAAGCATTTGTCGCATCTGTTCGTATTGTGCTGGGCGCAACTCATCTTCCTTATCTCGACGGCGTATTCTCCGAAGTGCTAATTTGTGTAACTCGAATAACGAATTGATTTCTATCTCGAATGTCTCGATAAGATGTGTTATTATCTAGCTTGTTTTGAGATTAATCGAATCAACTGCGCTTCCTTCTAGCTTTACCTTCTCGTCGATCATTCCGGAAGTTTCTTAAAAAAATAGAAATGAGTCAGGTAGTTTTACGCCGTTGGCATGATTCACTTAATTCACAAGTCGTCGTATCATGATTACCTACATGGTTTGACAAAATCTTAATTTTCGACATGTCTGCATAGTACAATGCGTTGTGTATGGGTATTCCATTGTGGAGGCGTAGCCTGGTGGATAAAGAATTCGCTCGTCACGCCGAAGACCCGAGTTCGATTCCCCATATGGGTACAATGTGAACAAATCCGCAGTGTCAGCTGTTAGTTTGCTTCAAAGGGTCGTAAAGCCATTCTCGCTCAGCAACCCATATGATGGAGTTTTACTTCACTCGATTATTTACAGAGATACTCGTCACATAGCTGGAATATATGTCCATAGTTGGAGTACGGCGTTAAACATCAAACAAAACAAACTGCAAGTAGATAACGCTATTTCTTTGTAGCTGACATGTTCAACCGCGTTTTGGGTACTTTTTGGTTGTGGGGCGGTGGGGTAGCCTAGTGGTTAAAGCATTGGCTCGTCACGCCGAAGACCCGTGTTCCATTCCCCACATGGGCACAATGTGTTAAGCCCATTTCTGGTGTCCCCCGCCGTGATATTGCTGGAATATTGCTAAAAGCGGCGTAAAACTAAAATCAATCAGTCAGTCAGTCGTCACGCCGAAGACCCGGGTTCGATTCCCCACATGGGTACAATGTGCGAAGCCCATATCTGGTGTTCCCGCCGTGATGCTCCTAGAATATTGCTAAAAGCGGCGTAAAATGAAACTCAGTCAGTCAGTCACTTTTTGGTTGTCTTCTTTAAAATATTAAGGGGTAATACATAGAAGCTTGGAATTACTTCTTGCAGCTGGTGGTTCGTCTTTAGATTAAATCGACATAAAATCGATAATTCCCAGTGCACACAAACACTTACGTGCATTAATTACAAGTGGTTGCCTGCAATGTTTTCCGTCACACATGAATAATTACATTAATTACAACTGGTTGCCCCTGGGGATATCGTAACCGATAGTTGTTGGAAGCGATTTAATGGACCGGCTGCGGTGAGGCTTGGGGGCTTATTAGACTTCGTTATATCAACAACGGTTAAGCTATGGTTATTTCAGACACTAGATGTAAGTCTATGTTACTTTGTGGCTTAAGCTAACGGTTATAGTCTCTGAAAATATATAATTTTGATAGAAACAAATTACACCATGTAAATGGAAACGAACCCCAGTGAGATGGGAGATCAGAGTGAGAACCTGAGGAAGACTTGGCGTAATTTAGGGCTATTCCATGATAAAGGTGGCGAGGGTGGAACCTGGTTGATTACATGTCATCGGATCCCAATTATGTGGATCGATGACCTTGAGTTCAGTTCCTGGATTGTGTGATCCAGACTCGATAATCTATACACAGACATGGTATTGCTTGAATATTAACGAGTGCAGAGTTAAACAACTGAACGCATACTATCTGGGTTGTCTTCATCTGACGGGATTTTAACAGAAGGCAGTCAGGTGATATGCATAGTGATGAGTGCATGTCGCGTTATATAACATTTTGTGTTGAACAGCTTGCACATACATACATACATACATACATACAAACATACAAAGTAATAGCTAGTCTGCTTATATGGCGCTCATGTCCAGGCACATTGCCTGCTCACGGCGCTACGTACATTACTATCCCCGGTCATAGGACACTATCGTACTTTCCGATACTGTTTCAACTCCCTGGGGATATAGCCATGCTGCCTGTTAGGCGCAATGAACTAAATACTCACTTTGCCAGCACATCCTCAAGGGTACCCATTTTACAGCTGGGTGAACTGAGACAATGTGGATCTAAGTATTATGTCCAAGGATACTACGCAAATACACACGCACACGCACAACGTATCTGCCTAGTTTTATTTCTGTGTGTGTGTGTGTGTGTTAGTTAGAATAACGCTTAGTCTCTGAATATATATAATTTTGATAGTAACAAATAAACCCATTTAAATTGTAAATGAGTCCCAGTGAGATGGGGCTCACCTGAACCTGACGAAATCTGGACTTGCTTCATTTAGCGCTTTAGCACTGCAGAGAGGCTTGGCAATAGCCTAGCCTCTGTTTCTACTTGTTCTTCTTTCATATGGCCAGATGTACTTGGTTCTATAATGGATCTGTAGGACGTTGTGGATCCTCGAGTTTCTTCAATAAATTGAGCTGAGAATGTGATGATGCTGAAATAGGGTGACCGTTTCATTAAATGTCTGCGCCGAGGTTCGAAAGAGAGACAAGTCTGGGTCTAGAGTTGCTAAAGTGGGATAACCGAGCACTTAAAACGTTCGTTCGTCAGACTGAGGCGCGGGTTCGATTCACCCACACAGGCAAACTGTGTGAAGCCCATTTCTGGTGTCTGCGATGTGATATTGCTGGAATATTGCTAAAACCGCCGTAAAACATCATAGTCGTACTCGTGTACATGGATGGCAATCTTGTACAAGGTGATGCAGTTTTAATGGAATAATTTCTTAATACACAATCTCCTTATATGATAACATCGCATTATCAATTAGTGAAATCGGACTAGAGATGTTCGCCACTGAATAGATTTATTCGTATGCACACGCTCCTATTATCAACCACTACCTTATCTGAGCCACATTTGATGATTACATGCTGCCACGATGTACATAAGGTAGTGGTTAATAATAATACACTTCTCACTGCGACGAAAACAAATGAACACCGAAAATCATGAAACAGTGTGATGTCTAAAACTGCATCAGCTGTTTATACACCAATTTATCGATATACCCAATCAAAGAATATTTGGAAAATAAATTAGGGGTAAATCATTAAAGACATCTGTAAATATCTGACAATGATTGATGTCACACATATGATTTTAAGACATCTGTAAATCGAATTTTTCATATCTATTATGGGTTATCGATCATCGATCGATCAGTCATAAAATGCAGATCAATACGAAGGCGCCTCATAATTCCCCATGTAATTAACTGTGCAATATAATTATATGCTTAAAATCCAATAAAACAGCACCTACATTGTTTCATTATGATATGTGTAAGTGAATTTGGCTTTTAAAATGAAGGGAATGCATTCAGGCATATGCTTAGGGTCAAAAATGGAGATAATTGAATTTCACATAACAGAGTGTAACGAAAAGACAAAATTTCACGTTTAAATCACATAAAACTAAAAATTCACATCCAATATTTTTTACAGGAACAAACAGATGTAAAACTACCATTCATCTTTACTGGCTGGCTGTTAGATCTACCAGGGGCCATTCGAATAAAATGGCGAAGCCTGGAACTCTAATTACAATGAATCCATATCCAGTGTCACAGACGTTCATATCCGCTAACTGCTGATGAATGCAAGGAAACAAATTGTTCTCCAAGCCTGCAGATGCCAGGACATAGGAGACATCGATAGGATATCGATCGAACACAAGTCCCATTCTTGTCTTCGTACTTCCACTATTCCCCGCCGCGCACAAAATCAAAGGTCATTTCCGGGAACAACGGCCTTCACCTTTAGATACGTCAAGGCAAGCCAAACTTCCCCACCGATTACCAATTTCCTTTGTGTATTATGAAGTATCGAGACACCGCTGTGGAGGATCGTACCTCATGAAGTAAAGTACACATAGCAGGTATTGTGTTTCCTGTGCTGTAACGGAATGTGAATGTATTTTGAAGTTGTTTCATGCGATGCTCCGGAAATATAATGAGGCTCTGTATGCGTGGTCGCCGATACATGTATACATTACTTTTTGAGAATTCACAAAGGCGCTGTTGGCATTCAGTAAGATGATATAAAATCAACTGAACACCTAGTAGGTGTAACAAGAGCATTCGTTATCGAGGATAATCTCCTTCTGATTATTTGACGCACTGCATTTAGTAATTCAGTGACCACAAGAGAGGACACTTTAAACATGGGTGGCTCGATTATAAATAACCAGTCCCAAAGGCTCCCATTATAATCTACATGTTGCACAGCCGTATATTATGCCATTTTAACATTTATTAATAAATTATTGATCTGCAATTGCTTTAAGATATCTCTATTGCATTTTAAAATATAAAAGAGTTTTTAAGGTATCAGTAAATAATTGAAAATATCAGTTTCTGATATCCAAAGTAGAAGAATATCTTGAAATGTTTCTGAGATATCAAAATATTTCGGGATATCTATTAATGTGGTAAGATATCAATAAAACAGATAATATCATATTGTACATAATGATGTTAGAAGTTAATTCATGATATCGTAATTTCAATTCAAAATATCTTTAAATACATATCCACAAACGTATTAAAGCCATAATTAATGCATTAAGATATCGGCGAGATAATTCTGACTGTTACTGATATCTAAAATCAAATTAGAGATATCATTAATAATTTGAGGATGTTTTTACATCAGCTGTTGATATCTGTATTATGAACGAACGGCAAACGAATTATACTGGACGTATCAGTGATTGAATTACTGATATCATTACAAACATGAATATGTATATATATTTAAAATCGTATTCCGAATCCGCTCATCTAATTTAAGATATCAGCAATTCTTTTTAAGATATCATAAATGTACTTCGACATATCCATTTCGTGATATGAATTTTATTGCAAATATGTATGATTATTTCTGTTCGAGGTATCTTTACAATTTATAGATATTTTCAATTCAATTCACGATATCTCTAAAAGAATTTAAGATATCAGTAATTTTGTAAGAAACGTGAATAAGACTTACCATTCAGCCAATTAAGTCGCCACAATTAGTTGTGTAGAGTTGCCTCCCTTGGGTATGATGAAACGTATGATTTCAAGAGCGCTCGAATCCTATTTCGCCGGATTGTTTCTAGGTTTGTCAGTACCACATCCATGCTGATGGATTTCAGGGGCGGTGGGGTAGCCTAGTGGTTCAAGCGTTCGCTCGTCATGCCGAAGACCCGGGTTCGATTCCCCACATGGATACAATGTGTGGAGCACATTTCTGGTGTCCCCCTCCTGTGGTATTGCTGGAATATTGCTAAATGCGGCGTAAACCTAAACTCACTCATTCATGGATTTCAACAAAGTAGGAAGTATCTTAGATATGCATCACTTCTCGGTCCCGACCTAAAAACAAGCGACACGCCATACAATAAGTGGAATACGGCTTAAAGTGGCCTAAACTTACTCGCTCATTCTCCAAGTAGCTTTCTCACGCACTATATCGATTATTGTCTGTATTGATTACCGTTGGTCTCCATCTTTCACTAAGGCGGTTTAATGCAGGATGGAAAATGTTATACATAAAATTATCTTTGGGTTCCATGTCTCCAATTTTGTGGTCACCCATGATAGCAATCCTTGATAATTAATTAGACAGTATACAATGGGATCGATTTAAATGAGGGCCTTGTGCTCTACAGTATGTGACCTGACTGTTTATGCGGTAGCTGACCCTGATGGCAGGTGTTAGCATAGGCTTGAATAGTAATAGGTCGCGGTGGTCCAGCTTGAATAATGTTTAGTATGGCGCTAAAATCCCCTCCTTCTACGCTCGATGACCCGCATCTGGGGATGCTGGTGCTAATGGTTCCCCAGAAACTTATTGTTGTCATAAGAGGCGATTATAAAATCTGGATGACGTTGTGACTTTAAACAAGTGTGTGTGTGTGTGTGTGTTTCTAACCGCCTCTCACTCACTCACTCACTCACTCACACACTCACTCACTCACTCACACACACACACACACGCACCTTGGATCCGCCCAAGGATAGGCAAGGCCATCAACCTGTGAAAAAGAGGTCGTTACTTGCTTGATTGAATGTCACCGTATTCTAGTTACGTGGATCAATGTTCGTGATTTCATTCACAGGATTGTCTGGTCCTGTATCCTTGTTGATCGTTGGTCAGCATACCCAACTGAACCGGACATTGCTAACACCGATCACTGGTTTGTTAGGTCCTGACTTGAGTATTTACAGGCTGTCATTTTTTAACGCCACACAGTATTCCAGCTATATGACGACAGTCTCTAATCAATAGAGTCTGGTCCAAACAATATAGTAATCAACATCAAGAGAATCGATGTACGCAGTTGGGATACGATGACATGTTTCAAGCAAGTCAGCGAGTCTGACCACTCGGTCACGTTAGTCGCCTTTTACGACAGTCATGGGTTGCTGAAGACCAATTTTAACCCGGCTGGTCAAGTACTGAAATGGCTGGTTGTTTTGTTGTTTAACTCCGCACTCAGCAGTATTCAGGCTACATGACGGCGCAAAGCCGCACCACCCGAATAAAGCTATTATTTATCACAAAGACTTTTATTTTCCAGATTTTCTGCCATGAGGTCAACTCAAGATGCCATCCCTTCATTACATAACGCACGCAGTGACCCTCGCCGTTATTGCCACACTAGTGAGGAAGTACCTACAGCTGAAGTTTGCTTATGAAGATCTGGAAATATATTGCAAGCCTCACCATGAAGACGAAACGGAATTCCAGGACAAGGAACCGGATCCCATCCACCATGGTTACCTGAATAAAGAAGACAAACACAACCCTGTCCATGCTACCGTGACAAATATACATGACAACGGTACAAGACTATGGTGTTCAGGCCATGACAAATCGTCAAGAATTTGTAAATTTGAAAATTTGTGTTATCATCCCCAGAAGGAGGATTTTGTATTCCTGCATGGTCCTGGGAGCTTTATTGAAGGTGCCGACATGAAGAGTGTCCACCATGGATTGTTAGACCTGTCTTCAGTTCAAGGTCACACCACTCACGTACTCAGAGCTGTGGATGCCCCTTCTCGGATCTTGAGGGATACCGGCGTTCACTGGGTTGAAGAAGAGACGCTGGTGTTCAGTCGGTTTAAACCTGACAATATAATGCACGTCATCCATGACGACATCCTGCCTCTTCATTACACGTTGCAGCTAGTGTCGCTTGGAAAAAATAGCTCCAGTCACCAGGTACAGCTTGTGGTTCTTGACGGGTGGGAGATGGGGGAGTTTGAATCTATTTATTCACTATTCACACCGTACGAGATTCTAACAAAAGACAAAATCAATATTCTGGGAGGAATGGTCTGCTTCAGGAACGGCCACATCGGAATCTCAAAAGGACCACTTGGTACCAGTATGGCTTTGATAAACCACAAGGTCCACTGGAAGGTTTGGAAGTATCTAGTCAGCATGTGCATACTGCTGTCAAGTATCTGTTGACTGAATCTTCAGAACTGTGCCAAATTTGCGGTTCTGGAGAATACGTTGTACTATTGTCCAGACGATTAAACAGGCTGATATTAAACGAAGTAGATTTAACGTTAGCTATTGCTCGAGAAACTGGGTTGAAAGTGGTGGTAATTGGGTTCGAAAGCCACTCTTTTGGCGAAATGATGAAAATAGTCCACGGTTCTAGAGGTATTATTGGTATGCATGGTTCGTTGATGATTCTCGCAACATTTCTGAATCCTGGGAGTTTTATAATTGAATTATTTCCCTACGCTATCAGCCCGGAAAACTATACACCTTTTAAAACACTGGCGGGAATACATGGCATGCAGCTTGTTTATAAAACATGGGCCAATCAGAACCGTGAAGACACAATCATGCATCCTGATTGGCCCCCAGACCTTGGTGGGATTCATGACCTGCCCAAAGAGGAACAGGAGGACATTATTAACCAATCAGAAATCCCGTTACATCTTTGCTGCGAGGATCCATCCTGGTTGTTTCACATATATCAAGACACTAAAGTCGATATTCCTTCTATAACTGAAATGCTGAAGCAGTCTTTTTCTGAGAGCACAGCGAGAGTCGTAGCAAACAACCAACTCATACCTTCTCCAGTGAGGCAGGTGGCGTGTGACGTCAGTTCCGTAGGACAAGGGGTTACGTTGTCATGGAAACGTTCGTGGAATGTGATGTATTTGGATTATATAACACTGGAGTATGAAATATGGCTGCAGAATAGTGACACCGAGTCGACAGTGTCTCTCATCGTCGGGAACGTCACCTCACACACTATCTCAAATTACGTGACTGAAGGGATACTGTATAATGTGTGGGTTAGAAGCGTTCTAGACCAGGAAGTTGAAGGTCAATTCAGTGATGCAATTAAATGCCATGTATGAAATTGTATCCAAACTTTCGTATTCTTTTAATTAACACAGACCCGTGCAGTGGTTTCACTGAACTGAAGATCTGAAATCATCTTCAGCAATCCATGCATCTGTTTGTTTGTTGTTTAACGCCACACTTAGCTTAGCAATATTGCAGCCATTTATATACAATATTGCAATTGATATATATATATATATATTTATATATATCCGAAACTCCACCACTGCTGTCGATGCTGGATTTTCCAATCTGCCATATCTCCTTTCTGTTATTTATCAATGATAGTATCAAGATACAATACTCCGGGGGAAAACGCGGATGACGTTCATCACCTGTGTTCTGTCAACCGTATCGTGTATATATCGTATTGTTTACATATTTAAATATAATAGGGGAAAATATATAATAGATAAAGATGGTGAAACCAACATGCAGATCATCTGATCAGCTTCCAACAGTCTTTGACCTAGTGCTAACCAGGATTCTGTACGTTATCAGCAACTCGAGACACGTACTGCCGTCTTTTGCCTTGCGCGAAGTCTTCTCAAAACCATGTCCCTTCAACGTGTGTTTGCCAAATTTCACCGAAATATTTTCAAACGCTTCAAAAGGAAGCTGCATAATTACGGGAATATATTTTATGTGATTATCTTTGGCAGTATTGTAACCTTCAGGTTGTAGAACGGATGCACAGGTTCGATTTCTCACACTAGTGTAGGGTTGCAGTCTATTGTTGGTGTCCTAACGTGATATTTATGCAATATTGCTAAAAGCGACGTAAACTCGAAAGAAACGGGACGTACATACCCACTAGTTAGAAGTACAATCAACATGTGACTCCCCGCCATTTGTATGGGTGTCTTTTTAGCCTCAGAGATTCGCCCGGTGTGTGTTCCTTGGAAGGCATCACCATACTCGTGCTCCTAGGTGTAACAAACGTGTACAAAGTGGTATAAACCTGTGCTTTCCTCTCTCTAGAAGCTAGATTACCTACACATAACTGAAAAAGGCTGCTCCAATAGCAGTATACATGTACTCGGCTGGCAAACTCCACATTTTCACGACTACTGTCGTTGCGAAAGGGCACAATATTCGTCGGTTTGATTACGACTATGTCACGAGAATGTGATTATAGGGGTGGGGTGGGGTGTCACCCATTTTGTTTTGGGGAGCTAGGGGGGATGGGGGTCATCAATGTTGTACACACGCATTAGGGGGTGGGGTGTCAGCAATTTTGTACATAACAATATGTTTAAAATTATGCTTAGAAATTATGGGAAGGTGAGAAGGTGTTGTCATTGATTTTGTACATGACATGCAGGTGGGGCACTTATTTTGTACATATATATTAGGGGGTCATTCACATTATACATGCTTCTCCATAAAAATCATCATCATCATCATCTCTCTCTCTCATCATCTTGGTCTCCTTTCTTCCCCAAAAAAAACAAAAACAAAACCAATAAATTATGAACGGTCCCTTATTCCTCCAAAAGTCGAAAACTGCAAAAACGAGGGCTGGTGTTGCTGGAATGTTCCCTGGCCTAAATGGGAAGTTGAAGACGTTCCACTTTTTTACACTACCCTCTTGTGGATAGTTTACAAACAGTTGATTCAGTAAAAAGGTCACAGGCCCATAATACAGGCAATAGGTCATTCATGCTGCCAAACAATACCTGTATTATGAGCCTATGGCCTTTTTAACTAAATAGCCGTTCTGTCCGGATAGTTGTCTGTTACACTGAATGTGTATGCATAGATCTAACTGTGAAACAAGACGCGGTTTCACTGTCCTCTCTAGTTCTTGTTCTGGGTCCCGATCCATTAAACCTTCGTAGGTCTACTATATTCGCAAGCGTATGATAAATTATAGAGTTACGACAGGTGGATTTCCCGATTTGCGGATCGGGAGACAGGTCTTGACTATTTGACTGTTATTGAAAGATCAGCCCATTCATATACCCGAAACTCAGGGTAAGTTAAACTTCTAGACCCAGTCGCCATGTTTTCACTTTTTCCATGCGATCAGAAGATCCAGTTCATATGGAAAGAAATCTGCCGACTATCATGGAAGGACAAATTGATTCTGCTTCCATCTGTGAAGAGCACACGAGACCATTGACGTTGATCCAGCGGCTATGATGTCTACTCCATCTCAAACGCACCTCCTGTGACGTGGTATTAGTGGTGGACGAACTGCAGGTCGCCTACATGTAGCCCGGCTGCCCTTAAACGTCGACGAACGGTGCCCCTGGATATCCTTACATTGTTAACATTGAAGTGTTCTGTCTAAAGCTCTGCAGCGTTAAGGAATCTGTTACATAACGCAGTGTTAATCATGTGCCTATCACCTCGGACTATTGTGACTCTGAGGCAACCTGGTCGATGTGCATATTCCACGGACCCATTGGCTTGAAATCTCTGCCAAAGTCTACCAATAGTCACATTAAAGCGGACAGCAACCTGCCGCTGAGTTTGACCAGATTCCAAAAGGCCTATAGCCTGACCCCTTTCAGCAAGTGTCATTTTAAGCTGCGATTTCAAACAGGTACCTGAACAGTGAACAACAGTGAAAAGCATCAATGCATGTGTATTGTCCTCCACTTTCCATGGATAAAGAGACTTGCACGAGCAAACCATTGACATTAAGTGGCAGGTGGATTTACATACTGACAATTTGAATAACATTTGTAACAGAATGTATCGGGTGTTAAAGAACGTAATAATAGCATGTCGGCGGCTTGATGTGTTTTTCCATACTGTTGAGAAGTTTGTAAAACATTCAGTTCTATATATTTCAAACAAAAACTAAGATTTTACAACTTTTAAGAAATAGTGTTACCAATAGCTTGACGCCGAGTACATGTTCAATGAATGAATACGTCCCTTATTGTCCAAAGGATAAATTTGTAATGTTCAAACCAAGTGCGAGTCAAAGAGGATATCTGGATATTTTACGCCGCTTCACACTGTACTTTAATCTTGTCAACGCTGAATAAGAAGGTGTTTATGTATGTTCTTTTTCAGTTCGATTTTGATCATGAAATACATACAGTTTAATATTTATCGTCAGACAAGGGTTACTGTATATCGCCACAGAAAAGAGGCAAGTCAAGAGCCTCCATTCACCAGTCGACGTGAAGTTGTATGAAGACTATCAACCCTAAAAACTTTTCTTTTCCTCGTAGTGAGTTTTACGCCGCTTTTAGCAATATTCCAGCAATATCAGGGACGGGGACAACAAAAAATGGCTTCACACATCCTCTTTGATTCGCACATGGTTTGAACACTATAGATATATCCTTTGGACAATAAGGGACGTATTCACACAGCAGAACGTTCGAATCTCGATCGTTGCAGTTCCACATTTGGTGGCCAGCCTGTCCTGTCTAGTCCGAGTCATCTTGTAATGACTTGAGGGATTAAGACAAAGTTACCCATGTGAGTATTGAACCTGGTGTTGAGTTAATCACTGTGTTAATGTACGCCAGTGCATGGATGTGATGTAGACGGCTAGGAACCACGGTCGTCCGACCCCACACCCTTTGCCCTAGGGGCCACGTACACGACAGGATAATGTCTGGAGTTCGCCCCCGAGTCAAGGAGCGGCAATAAGTTAGATAACTGTGACGGGGTAACAGGCATCCCGACCCTAGTTACTGTCGGACGGAAATGGACCCCGAACGCAGTTACGACATTATATTGATTTAAAACCTGTGAACCTGGCGTTTGAAAAGAATATGAAGAGGAAGATGAATGGGAACGAAAAAACAGACGCGGGTGGTGGTGCTGGGGTGAAAAGAAAACGAAGAGGGGTAAAAATAATATGAAGACGAAATGACGAGGTTGGAAATCGGAGAGAACAACCCTGTGAGGAAATGGGTGTCTATCTTTGACGGTGGCGATATTTCATTTTGACATTAAAGTTGAAAATAAAACTATATTATTGGATATTAAAACTGACAGCATAACCTACTTAAGGCTTGATTTGCAGGTAAAGGGACATAACTCTTGGGAACTTAATTTCCCAGCCCTTCACCTCTGGCCTAAGGGAGATAACTATATTTATTAAGGTGCTAAAGGGGCTTGTTTATATTTGTTAATGAGCTAAGGGGCATGACAGCTCAAGGTCACTTTTGAACCATAGCAGACGAAAATATTCAGTGAGAATTTGCAGTAAAAGATAATTTTCTCCTTTAAACACACACACACGGGA